ACTTTATATTAACTATACTGGAATTTGAAAAAAAACAAATGACTAAGTTTTTACTTTTTTTTTACTTTTTTGACATTTATTGCTATGTGTAATAAATGAAGCACTCAAATCAACACAAAAGGTAACAATAAGAAAAAAGCGGGAAAAGGGAATTAGCAGGAAAATTATAAAGGGATATTAATGGCCACGGTATATGGAAAAAAAATCCAACCTCACTAATAATTTAAGAAATGAAAATTTTAAAAACATTTTTTTAAAGATTTATTTGTCAGAGAGAAAGCGCGCGTGCACAAGCCGGGGGTGCAGCAGGCAGAGGGAGAAGCAGGCTCCCTGCAGAGCAAGGAGCCCAATGTGGACTTGATACCAGGACCCTGGGATCATGACCTGAGCCAAAGGCAGACGCTTGACCAACTGAGCCACCCAGGTGTCCCTTAAAAACATTTTTTTAATTAACAGAAATAATAAGATAATGCCCAAAGTTGACCAGAGAAGGAAAAAACCACTTTCACTCTCCTCTAAGGGGAATGGAAATGGGTATTACTTTCTGAAAGACAATTTGTCAGCCGTAGAAACATATCTCCTAACCCAGCAAACTTATTCTATGGAAATAATTAGAGATATGCAAAGATATATTCATCATATCATCTATGTCAAACAAAATAGAAGTTTGGCTAAATTATGGTACAGCCATGTAATGTAATACAACACAGAAATATAATTTTGTAGGGATATATTTTACATGGGAACACAATCACAATGTATTATGAAAAAGTAAGAAACCAGAATATGCAGAATAATCTCTTTTCAAAATAAAATTATTAATTATTTTAAAGTACAAATGTAACCTACAGCATGTTCTTGTTTAAAAAAAAAAAAAAGCCACAGGGACACCTGGGTGGCTCAGTCGTTAAGCATCTGCCTTTGGCTCAGGTCATAATCCCAGGGTCCTGGGATCGAGCCCCACATCGGGCTCCTTGCTCAGCGAGGAGCCTGTTTCTCCCTCTGCCTGCCATTTCCCCTGCTTGTGCTTGCTTTCTCTCTCTCGTTCTCTCTCTCTCTCTGTCTCTGGCAAATAAATAATAGAATCTTAAAAAAATAAATTAATTAAAAATTTAAAATTAAAAAAAAAACGCCACAGATAAAAGCAAAAGTTCCCTTTACCACTCAACACCCCTTCCCAGATATAATTACTACTAAAGATTTGATATATAGCCTTTCAGATCTCCTCTATGTATGAATATACATACATCTATAGTTACACATAGAAATACATTGTTTTGACTTAATAGTATTACACTCTATGTATTTTGAGGGGTTGCTTTTTTCACTTAACACATCTTGGAAAGCTTTCATAGTAAGCAGGAATCCTCTCATTCTTCTAAATCGTTCTATATTACTCTAAAGAATAACTATACCACAACTTATTTCAACATTTCTCTTTTGATTTGGCCACATGTGTTCTAAAGCTATACGTATAAGACAAAAAGAAGAAAAAGCAGTACAAAGCCAAGTACAGATCAAACTATTTGTCATGGTTATCTCTGCATGCTTTCCTGAATTTTCTGCTTTGAGCATTACTTTTTCTATTAGAGAAAAACATATTAAAATAATGAAAAATAATTTTAAAGTATTATGATTTTAGAATATATCACATTACATCTAAGAAAGGGTATTTTTATATTATAGCTGTCATTTAATGAATGATTATTGGCTAAAGTAAATGTTTTCTCTACTCAAAGAGTATTTCACCTTGTATAATAAGTACAGCAATAACCCTATTAATCTATGTAATGAATAAGCAATGCTTGGAAAAAAGTAAAAATGAATCATTTATGAAATATCTTCGGGTGAGTATCAACTAACAATCTTTAACCATACTTTTCCCAGAATTCCCAGAATGACTAAAAGAAGTTCTCTAAAACAGAGAGGAAATGATTATAAAAGGAATCTGAAAATCAGGAAGAACTGAAATGGCAAAAATGTGGGTAAATACTTCTCCCGAATTTTCTAATTATGTTTAAGAGTTGAACAAAAACTATAACACTGTCTAATTCATTCTCAATGAATGTAAATATTTAAGAAAATATTATGAATGATGGAGGGTAAAGGGATATAAATTGAAGTAAGGTTTCTAAATTTCACTTTAACTTGTGAAATGTCTAGTGGGGTAAAGGACAGAGGAAGCGGATCTCAGAAAGTACCCATGAAACCACATTTTTAAAAAAATGCCCTGCATCTATTTATTCAGCTCTCTAAATCTGCCTTTTCAAAGTAGTCTAGTAACCACGCTTTTACTTAAGACCACTAATGAGCTCTCCTCTCAACGCTTATGCTGTACTATCTTTCATCTCCTGTTGTTAGGGAAACCAACCTAGTAACTCTCCTACATTTACGTATACTTTTTCTCTTGATTTCTATCTTCTACTCATCCCTTATTTTTGTGTTTCTCAAAGTCTGGGCCTCAAACCATGTGCAATGGAAACACCAGAGCCCCACACCAGACCTATTGATTCAGAACCCCTGGGTATGAGCTCCAGGGCATCAGCTTTTGAAAAGGTCCCCCCTCCCCGCCAGGTGATTCAAGTGTGAGAATTGTTTTAAATATTCACCCACCAGGTTCTGTCCTTGGTCCTTTTCTACTTCTACCTGTTACACATGCAAAATTAAAGCCACAACCAAAACTTCCCCCACTTACTGCTATCAATTGGATGTGTAAGCTGCCTACCATCCACCCCTCCCCCAGACAGCACCTATAATCCTACCTGACACACAGAATATTTATTTGAATGAGCACGATGGCTCTCAAACCTGCTTCGTCAACTAAGACCTATCTCTTCTGGGCTCCATACCTGCAAGTGCAGCTATCCAATGGACATGTTCACCTGGTATCTTAAAGTTACCCTGAATTAGTTAGGATTAAGTTCAGCTAACAGTAACAGAAAAACCTAAAAGAATAGTGGTTTATATAACACAGAAGTTTATTTCTCTCAAATAACAGTCTGGAACAGGCCAGTATGAAAATTCTGCTCCACAAAATTCTCAGGGATTTTGGCTCATTTCTGCTTCTCACTCCACTATGCCTAGAATATAGTCCCCATTTCATGATTCAAGATGGAACTCCACCCAAAACAAGCACATAACTAGCATCAGGATAGAAGCAGGAAGAAGGAAGACAGAAAGGTACATTCATCTCTAATATACTTCCTATAAGTAGAACATACTAGCTCTACTTTTATCCCATTGACCAGGACTTAGTCTCATGGCCATATATAACTGTAGGGAGGCTGTAAATACAGTCTTCATGGTAGGCAGCTGAATTGTGTTACTAAGAAAAAAAGGGATACCAGATAGTGTAGAACAACAGCATTCTTGGTCATGCATTCCAAAGTCACCATGTTCCAAACTGAACTACCTCATTTTCAGGGTAAACTGTGCGATTTTATACCTTTGTGAAGTGTCCACCCTACCTTTATCTCTATTCTGCCTGGCAAACTCCTTCTCTCTTAATACTCACATCATGTGTCCTTCTGTTAAGTATTCCTTTACCCAACCGCTTTTCCCTCCAGCCTAAACAAACTGGATGTCTTTAGGCCACTTTCATATCTAGCACACGTCTCTATTTTTGCACCGCTGATTCTGTATACATACATTTTTTTTTTTAAAGTCTATTCTTCCATTTATCCCTCTAACTCCTTGAGGGCAGAGACTGCCTTAGTATCATACACACAGAGATCTGGAGCATATTAAATTTTACAAAAATCGGCCATTAATATCTACTTCCTAGAATTATAGCAGCAGGGAACTGGTAAAATACGTCCCTAATAAAAAGGACATCGCGGTATGTAGTATTGTAATATAATGGGATGTGTTAAAGTCCCAAATCAAAAAAGATTCTACCAGCAGTTACAAGAATATGTCTGTATGCTTTTATCTAGCCACTGCTCTCATCCTACACACATTACTTACATATTTTATACACTCATCTTTTTTTCTGGTATAAATTTTAGTTGGATAAATTTTAAGTATGTTTACATTTGATTCTACTAATAAGTTTATATTTAACTTAAGCCAATAATAAGGTTCTATGCTTAGATCCCACTTAAATTTCAGCAGTTATTCCATCACAGAAGACCGGGTTAGGCATGTGTAAGCTCTTGGAAGACACCTAAGGAACCACAATATTTTGGTGATTTTTTTCTGAAAGAAACTATCTAGACGATCATAGAATTCAACTTAGGAAGCACAGCATTACAACTGATAAACACCTGACTATAATAACATGTTAATCTATGATGGTTTCCACAGTCTAAAATTTTCACTGACACAGGTGCCTGGGTGGCTCAGTCGGTTGAATGTCCTACTCTTGACTTCAGCTCAGGTCATGGTCTCAGGGTTATGAAATCGAGTCCCATGTTGGGCTCAGCGGGGAGTCTGCTTGAGATTCTCTCCCTCAGCCCCTTCCCCAACTCATGCACACGTTCTCTCTCTCTCTCTCAAATAAATAAATCTTTTTTAAAAATAAAGTAAAATTTTCACTGACAGGGAGATTTTACTTAAGACTATCAAACTATCAATTTAACTTGAAAAAACTGACCAAAATTGTGCAAAATACATATAACAGTTGTTATGCCTTACCATTTAAAAACTACCTTTGAGATATAAACAATGGAATACTAAGTATAATTTTAAATTGAAATATCAACTATAAAGACAGCTAAGCACCCCAAAATGCTTTCAGTAACAAGGCTTCAATGGTCCAAGTGTGACTTGTAGCTTGCCCATATTCTCCAATGTGGACTGTCAATTCAGATTATGATGCTGAGTTGGCCCTCAAAAATTCTAATCCTTGCCGTCTCCTACCTTCAGTTCTCTAGCCTAGGCAGTGCCCTCCCTGTTCTGTCTGCTGTTCCAGCTGAGCAATAAGTCCTAACCTCAGTGCCAATAGCAGTTAGATCTAACTTTAATAAAATAAAAGAACATGTAGTTACTTATTATCTTACCATGAGTTCCAGGTGGTTGTAATACATCTCCTGTCAGGCGACACCACCCAACTGGGAAAATATCTCGACAATCGTACTTGCACCAGTAATCAAAAGCTCCACTCCAGCCATCAAATGTGATATAAACTTCATCTCCTCTAACATCTCCAATAGTTGCAGGGCAGATCAGATAAGGGTTCTTTTTGTCTATAGCTTCAAGTTTCATTCCCACTTTAAAATTATTTAGAGGTGGCTTTGGTGGTTCCTACCAAAACATTTTTAAAAAAAGTTTTTTGTTAAGATGTAATATGAAGCATTTGTTCAACTGTATCTCACAACTTTTAGCAACCAAAAATTAAACTCCATGTTTATCAATTAAATACAGGAAGAAAACAGTTCTCAAAGGTCTCTCTGAAACTCTGCTCTACATCTCACTTACTTTGGAGCAGAGCCAAGAACCTGGATGGAAACAAAACCAGACTGATAGTAATTCATTCATTCATCTAAGAAATATGTGTTATATAGTATGTACCAGAAACTTAGGATTAATTAGTGAACAAAAAATAACAAAGATCCCGGCTCTGGTGGAGCTTACCTTCTAGTGGTGGGTGGTAGTAGTGGTTGGGTGTGGGTAGGGGAAAAAGAGAGAAGCAATCAACAAGAAATTTTAAAAGAGGGAATCAAACAAACCTAATAAATGTATAAATTATAGGGTATGTTGAAAGCTGGTAAGTCCAAAGAGAATGAACAGCAGCAGATATTATCTAAAAAAAACAAAAAAAGAAACCACATCCAAGTATAAAATGCAGACACAAGAACATGAAAGTCATATAGTCTGGGGTCATTTATGATATCCAATCCAGAAACCAATATTAAAAAAGCATCCTTTAGTTATAAACATTTAAAGCATGCAAATAGCTAACAGGATTCTTAAAAGCCTAAGTGCTATGTTAAAAGCAACACCTTTTCTTTCAGTTTGCTTTTTATCCTGGTAAATAGCACCATCATCAGCCCAGTCATCCAAGCCAGAAGCCTGGAAATAGTCCTAGGCCAGGGGTTATCAGCCCAACTAAACATCAAAATCACTTGGGGCCACACCCCCAAGATATTGATTTAATTGGTCTGGGGTGGGGCCCAGGCATCAGCACATTTTAATTCCCCAGGTGATCCTAATGTGCATCCAAGGCTGAGAACCACTGCGCTAGACACATCCTTTTCCCGTAACACTCACATTCAAATACCAAGACTTGCCAATTCTATCCCTTAGATTCCTAGGATAACATTAAAAGTTAATCTTCAATTATTTAGTATAAGCCAGGCACTGTTCTAAATGTTTTCCATATATTTAATTCTCACAACCCTATAACGTCAATGCAATTATTATCCCCATTTTATAGATGATAAAACTGATGCACAATTGCCTAAGAATATACCAGAAGTATCAGCTAGATTTTAAACGTAGGCAGACAACTCCTTGGAACATCCTACCACATTCACCTGCTTGGACAACTCTAACTGATCCATTTCAAAGCCCAGCTCTCCTGGTCTCTTTAAGGCTTCCCTGGCCAACTCCTGCCCACTCCTACACCCCCTCAAAGGAGGTGCTCTTGCCTTCAACTGCAAAAGTACTCTTGAAATGTGTTTACTCCTCTGAGACTCAGGGATTCTCAAAAGCAGATATATCTTATTCATATTGTTATTTCCAGAAGAGTACTCAACAGCAAGATCTTTTTATTTTTTTTTTTAAAACAGCAAGATCTTTTTAAAAAAAATAAATAAATTAACCAAGTAATCACCTGAAGAACAGTAAACAAGCTTTCAACTAATTCTTTCACCAAGATACAATTTAAAAACATACTGGTAGGTTGATTCCTTTTTTAAAATGCCCCCTTTAAACCCATCTCACTGTCCGGTACTTTTCCAGTGATATCCTTTATACCCTTGAAGTCTTAAAGTTCCTTAATTATTAGTCTTCAAAGTCCTTTTAATTACATAATCTTAATTTGGTTCTTAAAAAACACCCAAAAGTCAGCAGGGCAAAAGTTAGCTTGATCAAAGATCACAGTTATTTGATAAACAAGTCGCTGGTAAGAAGCAGAGTTACTGCCACTTCATGAAGGGGCTAAAGGTCAACTAATTGTTACTACATATGAAAGGAGAAAAGGGAGGTGGATTTAATAAAAGACAACTCTGGCAGGTGATAAACTTGTGCTGCACATTCACAGAATAGAGGAAATATTCAAGGCACACATAAGGTTCCTAGGACCTTACGCTATCATATAACCAAATAAGAATAAGACTTTCTGTAGCAAAGCAAACTAAATTCAAATGGCAAGACACATTTTCTGCTATAAAAACAGAATTAAGACAGGAATGAGCAAGAAAGAAAATTTTAAGATTCAAACTATAATCTAAAAAGATAACCCAAATGTAACAGTATGTCATCAATAACACTATTAGCTGATAAGTAAAAAAAAAATGATTATGGACAAAATGAAATTTATTCTCTAAGATTTTCATACTGTTTATTAATTCTTCTAAATTTCATGAATACTCTATCAAAGTTACTTACATCAGTATAGCCATACAAACATATATTAACAGAGCTCTGGAAGAAAACAAACATATTGATTTTTAAAAAACCAAAGGAACTGCTCCTTTTTCATAAATAAATGAAAGGGTTTTATCTCAAAACAAGCTACCTCTAGATTTAGATAACTGGTAAAATGGTTCCCTCTGCTGTCCACAAAAGGTAATGATATAAAGTAGCTTTTAAAAATACTTTTAAAGAATGTTTTAAATGTCATCATCAGTTCTTGAATGACTTCCTGAATACAAAGATATAATTTGTAGGGGTGCCTGGGTGGCCCAGTCAGTAGAGCATACAACTCCTGATCTTGGGGTACTGAGTTCAAGCCCGACGTTGGGCGGAGAGCTCACTTTAAAAAAAAATATATATATATAAACGCTCTTTTAACCCCTCTCCTTGCCTACCTACCTACAATATGCTTCTCCTTAAAGGCTATTTCTTCTCATATCCCACAGACTCTGAGACCAGTGTGAGCATTATCTGCATTACCCCTCTGCCTGCAATATTCTTATCCTTGTAACCTCATGGTTCCTTCTCTCCCTTTCTTCAGATCTTCACTCCAATGGCATCTTCTCAGCAAGACTTCCCTGGCCAACCTATCTAAAATGTCACCCACCCTTTTCCTTAGCAGATACAACCATCAAACATAATATAGACTTTATTTATTTTGCGTGGTTTATTATGCATTTCCCCAGCTAGGAGGCAAGCTCCATAAGGACAGGAGCTCTTCCACTGCTTTGTTTATGGCTGTATTCCCAGAGTCTACTCCTGACCACAGACTCCTATCCTTAACTTCTACTTCCTTACTTTTAATCAACTACTTCTTTGACCTCATCAAAAATTCTAGTCCTTTAAGCTTCATTTATTTATTCACAAATATTTACAAAGTGCCTACTAATGTCAGACACTACTGAAGGCTACTGATATACATTAAGTAGCAAAATAGACAAAAATCCCCCCCTTGTGGTATTCACATGCTTAGTAAAGAGAAAGATGAGAAACACCATAACATAAGCAAAATATATTCTATGTTAAAAATGATAAGTGCTATGCAAAACAAGAAAGTAAAGCAGAGCAAGGGCGATCCAGAGAAAAATGTAAGGGAGGGGTTGTGCAAAACTTTAAATAGGGTGAGGAGCCTGGATGGTGCAGTTGGTTAAGCGGGACCAACTCTTGGTTTCAGCTTAGGTCATGAGACTGAGCCCTGTGATGGGCACCCCACCCCCTGGCACATGCATGCGCGCAAGCTCTCTTTCTCTCTAATAAAATCTTTAAAAATAATAATAAATAAATCTTAAAAAGAAATACTTTATTTTTTTTAAGATTTTACTTATTTGAGAGAAAGAGAGAGAGAGAGAGGTGAGGCGTAGTGCACGAGTGGTGGGGGGAGGACAGAGAAAGGGAGAAGCAGATTCCCTGCTCAGCAGGGAGCCTGATACGGGGCACGATTCCAGGACTCTGGGATCATGACCTGATCCGATGGCAGATGCTTAACCGACTGAGCCACCCAGGCGCCCCAAAAAGAAATACTTTAAATAGGGTAATCAGAACAAGCCTCATATGGAAGGTGACATGTGCACAGAACCCTAAAGGTGATTATTAACCACGCAGTTACCTACAGGAAGAGTATTCCAGGCAGAGAGAATAGCCAGGGCCAAGGCCCTAAAGCAGGAGATGTGTCCACATGTTCGAAGAACAAGGAAGTGAGTGTGGCTACAATTTAGTATGCAAGTGAGACAGCAGTAGGAAACAAGGTTAGAGAGAGAATGAGGGGTCATATGGAGAGCCATGGAGGCCACTATAAGGACTCTGAGTTTTACTCTGAGTAAAATGATGAGTCCCTGGACAATTTTGAGCAGAGAAGTGATATAATCTCATTTCTGTTTTAAAAGGAATATTCTGGTTACTGTGTTGACTATAAACTGTAAGGTTATAAATAAAGAGGTCAATGAGGAGGCTACTGAAGTAATCTAGGTGAGAGATAAAGGCAACTTGTACCAGCTGATAGCAAGAGAGATGTCAAGAAGTAGTCGGATTTTGAATATATTTTAAAGGTAACGCCCACAGGATTTCCTTATGGACTGGATGTAGTGTGTGAAAGAAATCATCACCAAGGTTTTTGCCCTGAGCAATTGGAATAACAGTTACCACTCCTTGAGATGGGAAAGGCTGCAGGCAGAAGTTTGAGATGTCTATTGGACATCCAAGTGGGGATGTTGAGTGGATATTCAAGTCTGAGTTGGGAACAAAAAGTCTGAATTGGAAATACGGATTTGAAAGTCATCTGCATATAAACTGTATTTAAAGCCAGAATTACATGAGAACACCAAGGAATTAATACAGATCAGAGTTTCTCAATGTTGGCACTATTGCCATTTGGAGTCAGAACATTCTGTTGTGGGGGCTGTTCCGTGCATTGTAGGATATTTAGCAGTGTCCCTGGTCTCTACCCACTAGATGTAAGTAGCACCCCCCCACACACACACAGCTGTGATGAACAAAAATGTCCCCATATACTGCCAAATGTCTCGTGGGGGGCAAATCGCCCCCCTTCCCGGTTGAGAACCACTGACAGAGATAAAAAAGTGAAGGGGACCAAACACTCTAACATTCTATAAAATTCTTTCACATCCAGGTTACAGAGCATCATGTCACCCAAAATCGACTTATCCCGC